AACTGGGTTTTCTCACTGAAAAACGAATTTTCTTCGCGGAAATCTCAAGTTACCTTGTTTTTCTCCAATCTTTATCCCGTTTGGAAGTTCTTCTCTGTGTGGTATTTCTCATAGATCACCTGTTCAACCAGTTCTGTCTTGAACAAACCGATCTGGCAGAAAATATACTGTCTCAGAAACTGCTTCTGTTGTAACGCCTGCAATCTTGAACACTTGTTTTTTTTTCGGAGATTTCGGATTTTTGTTTGTGTATCCTATTCCCATTGAGCTGTTCCTCAATCGTAAATCTAAGTCTAAATTTAAGTAAATCGTAAGTTTTATAGACTTCCCTTTGTTGCTTCGAAAAGCTGAGTGGACATTTCTCAGTTCACTTGACTACCATTCAGTTGAAAATTTTCAGAAATATTCCACAAAAAGTGTATTTATATATCAATATACAAAGGTTTGTAAACTCCCTTGAACTCTACTTTTGTGGGATATTTTGGCTTTTGCGTCATGACCCTCCCCTCCCCCCCCCCCACCCTCTCCCACTATTCGGTTAGTAAAATGGAAAATTAAGGAAATTTAAACTCTCCAGTATATTTGAAAACTGTTCTGCTTTTCGAATATAGTTTTAAATAAACGTGTATAAATATTGAGATCCCACAGAATGGGAGACTCTGCATTACCAAAAATGAAGCCTACGAATTTTTGGAGCAACTTTTTTCAAACCATAAAATCTTTGCGCATACATCTTTCTGTCTCGTGCAATCGAATGGTTCCAAGGAATTAATCGCAAAAATAAAGCCTATCTAAGAAAAACGCATTATTAAATAAAAGCTTTTTCTCAGCCTTGAGGCCGTCTACAGCACTGGCAATCGAAGCTGCATGTCACACGCGCTGTTAGCAGATCAATCCTGAGTTGCATACAGTCCGAGCTACCCAACCAAAGCCAGTTAGCTGGTATCAGACTTGTCGTAGGGCTTAAAAACGCAGCCCTGTTTAGCGACGCGCTCTATCAAGCTCTAGTGTAGACCGAATCACAGTCAATCATCAGCACGATTCTGAATGGGCAAAGGATGCGTGGCGCATCCTAGAAGGGATCGATCACCACCAAACTCGTGTTGTATTTTTTAGTTTTTTTTATGGTGATTTCATTTTGGGTATACGGAAGCCTACAGGGAAGATCTAGTTTCTGCATCTGATAGGGTGTGTGTGTATGTATGTGTGTGTGTGGGAGTATGTGTATGAGATTCCGCTACCTTTAGCGTGAGCTGGTTCTGAACCCTCTCTATATGATGCCACTTCCCCTACAGCCAGATGACTAGCTGAGCTAGCTTACGTATTACACAGCCGCCGGATGACGCGTTTCATGTGTTTGGTACGATTAATCTGATCCAGACTCCTCCCACTTTTCCACTTCCCAAACCACTGTGAACGAAAAACAAGCGCCATTCCTCAGCGACCGCCGACGGCGATTAGACGCAGCCCGACGGCCCGAGCGCGTATAAGCAGCACAACAGCTGAGAATCGGGACATTACCGGTTGGTAGAAGCCGTTCGGTTGGATGCGGTCGATGGATCGCCAACCCGCTGGACCTGGTCAAAGATTGTACGCGCCTAAAGATATCGATACGCCCTTCATAAACCTATTTTGGACGGCATCACATGAACTCCACCTGAGAGACACTCGATCCCTC